AGCATGCAGACATTTACAAAAGCAACAGTTTTCATCCCAAGTTGTGTGAATGTTGCAACTGACCAATCGAATGAAATGGAGGGTCTTTGATGTCCTCAGAAAGTGTTATATCTTGAATATAAGAAAAAGAAACATTATAACTTGGAGTGAATAGATGAATGGCAGAGACTTTAGTTCTTAAATTGAAATGGAGGTGGTTATAGTGGGATCAATAAAAGACATTGAAAAAATAGACCTTAATAATCTTTCCACAGAATTCTGTCATCTAAGGGTACAACCAACAGCATGAAGGTTACTTCCAGGTACAGGAGGAAAGATTCAATCATGGAAATTTGGTAAATGTTGCTAACCAACTCTGTCACCTCTGGGATATTTTATTAAGTTACTTTTAAACTGGGGCTTTCAACTGAGGAAGGTTTAAAAGTACTATTTTATTAATAAAATCAAGATATTTTTCTAAGTCCATTTTTCAATTGGAACTATATTATAAGATACATAAGCAGTAATCTTGGGAAAATCATGCCTATGGTATTACATACTACTGATGGAAACACCAAGCTATTAGCAAATATATAATTTAAAATACCAGAGGCTGTGGTTGTGGCTCAGTGTAGAGCACTTCCCTAGCATGTGTGAGGCACTCGGTTTGATCCTCAGCACCACAAAAAATAAATAAATAAAGGTATTGTGTTCATCTACAATTAAAAAAGAACATTTAAAACAATAAAATAGGGCTGGTTCTATAGCTCAGTGGAAGAGCATTTACCTAACAGTGTGAGGCACTGGGCTCAATCTTTAGCACCACATATATATGAACAAATAAAGTGAAGACATTCATTGTGTCCATCTACAACTACAAAAAATTTAAGTATATGCATTTAAATTGTGGGGATTTAATTAGACAGTAATTAAGGCTAGAATTTTGTATTTAGGCCAAGAAGGGTAAGATTATGATCTTTTTCTAAGTGTTCTGAAGGGCTTCTTAAAGGGAAGTAGTTTCAGGCACTGTGTGAAGATGTGCTAGTCCTCTTTCTGTCACTATGACAGAATACCTGAAATAATCAACAATAGGAAAGATTTATTTTGGCTCATGGATATAGAGATCTAAGTCTATGGTTGTTGGCCTTGTTGCTTTGGGCTTGTGGCAGCAAAGGACATCATAGTAGGAATATGTGGTCAAACAGTCCTCTTCACCTCATAGATGGAAGAAAGTAGACATGAATGGTCTGGAGTCCCAATATATCCTTCAAGGGTATGTCCCCAGTGACTTACTTCCTTCTACTAGGACCCATAGCTTCTCCATATTTCTCTGAAGTGTTTTGAAAACTTAGCAAGCAATTTAAAAAAGGTGGGTACCTTCTGAGGATTCTACCACCTCCCTATTATAGCACCACAAGCCAGACATTTAGCACATGGTCTTTGAAAGACATTAACGATTGATAGATCTGAAGAAGAAACCTTAGCAGGCTGAGAATAGAAAAAGCTTTCAAGCATTCTAGGTATAGGTACAGATAAGAACCATGACCGATGGCCAGTATATTGAAAGAAGCTGACCTCAAGCATCTTTGAGGGGTGGGGGGCAGGGCAGGCACAAGTATCTCAATGAGCATAGTTTTCCATTTGTATAAACAATTGCTTGTTCCCAAGACAGATGACACTGTGGTCCTCAAGGCCTTAAAAGTATTCACTGGCCCCCATTCTGTACTGTTCTTTCCTTTCCTCCTCTGTGTCTTCTGTCAAAGCACCAGACCAAGTAAGATTGTAACCTCACCATCGATCTGCAAGTATGGCACCAACATCTGTGACCAAAATTGGAGACGTGCATGAAAAAGAATTTCAACGAAAAGAAATTACTTGCCTGTGAACTGGCAGATCTCTTGACACAGCACATGCCATTATTTATGTCATATCAGTTGGAGCCTGGCAAATTTTCATAAGAAGAAAAAATGTTTCACTAAGGAAAGATGAATTCACAGACACATTCCTATTTTAGAGACCCTAAAGAGAATCTACAGAGCTGTGTAGAAAGAATGGACAAAACTTAGAGACTGTAGATATGTGTCAGTTTCTTGTTGAAAATAGTTGTTTTTTTGTGACTTCATTTTCTCATTGAGATAAAATAGGACTGCCTTGCTCAACAGGACTAACAGCAGTATAAAAATAATTATCCTAAATTTGAAATAATAAAACTATTTTACAATCTGTACAAAAAGTACCATGTCTTCAGAACCATTTAAACTAGTGGTGTTTTTGTCCTTTTGCCACCCAGAAATCTTTTATTAGCTTCTCCATATTTCTCTGAAGTGTTTTGAAAACTTAGCAAGCAATTTAAATTATTTGAGCAATCTAGCCTTTGTTAATTAAAGACAAGTCTGTGGAGATAAGCTGATTGGCAAGTGATACATAGTGTTATCACATAGAATTATTGTATAATTCCATGCAGATTTGCAAAAATGGAAACAAAAGCTTGACAATTGATTCTGACCTGTGGGATTTCAACCAAGGGACATGTATTTTTTGAAAGATTGTTTAAAAACTCAATGACTTCTTAAAGCACCACTAATTCCAGGAATCCCAAGTTGGGAATCATAACTTTAGACATAAGTATGTACATGAGACTATATTACAATCCAAAGGCAGAGATAAAGACAATATAAGTAACTGGTTCACCCTAAGGATAACATTCAACAACAGCAAATGTAAATAGAATCTTCCAAGTAGAAGAACACAGTGCTTAAGTAAGAGTTGGCCTCTAGACGGTTTTGCAAAAGCCATGGGACTTGTAAAGCAAGAAGACTTGTCAGGCAGCATCTGTGATGCTGACAATCTAATGATCAAGACAAAAACTCACCTAAAACTAGGGAATGAATGAATGAACTTTGAGATTCCCTGCAGGACCAACATGTGCTTGTGACATCCTATTCAACTATAAACAGTGAAAATTATTACAACCCACTGCAGATCCCTTTTTCCTGTTTTCTCACAGGGAAATGGTTCCTGATACATCAAAATTAAGACTTGACTGAACTTCTTGCCACACAGTTAAGTCTCATTATATCACAGATTCCACATTTTCCAATTCACCTGCTTTCTACAATCTATTTTTAACTCCATTTAATAGAGGCATTTACAAAAGTAATATTTTCATCAAATCCAAGTCAGATATGTGTTGTAAATTATCAGTGGAATGAAATGCAGGGCCTTGGACAGTATTTTCAGGATCATTAGTGAATATTCATACAGTGGCAGAAAATTTGAGTTGCTCAATACACACTTTCCCAGTTCATATGGGGAAAAGTGACACTTATGCCATCTTGCTTCAGCTCTCATAATGTTAAACAAATGTTCTTTCTATGGTCTATTTAGTGCCATGTTTTTTGCATTTTTGTACTTTTTGTTGGTATTGTCTATGTAAAGTGCCCTGCCCCCAGCATAGTGCTGAAGTGCTATCTTACTGTTCCTAAGTGCAACAAGGGTCTGATGTACATTATGTAGGAAATACATGTCATCTGGATATCAATATAATGCTGACAGTCAAGAGTTTAATGTTAGTGAATCAAAATATATATTAAACAAGGTGTCTCGAAACATGCATAAGGTTATGTGATCACTAGATAATGAAAATACGGCCAGAGGCTTGCAGAAATCTAACTCTCTGTATTGTCCCAGAAGTTTAGAATTCGCTAATTCAGTGTTCAAAGCAACTTTTTAGAACATAACTACTGTTAAAAATGAGAATCATCTGTATGTGTCTTCTCTCACAGGCAGGAGAGCGTAAGAACTGTCTGTGGATATCTTTAGCACATGGAGACTGGAACCTGGAACACATTACCCAAAAAAGCAAGTAGATCCTTTCTGGAGATGATTAGGAATGAAACAGAAACTGTGCTGTCTGTCACAGGTTAGGTGTGATGCTTACAGGAAGGAAATGTGGTAGTGGGTCTCTCCCTCCCTCCCTCTTTCTTCCCTGCTTTCTAGTTTTCTCTCCTTTTTTCTTTCTTTGTGTTGAATCCTGGCTTCCTATTGTCAGCTCATCTGTGCTCAAATGTCTCACCTCTAAGCAATAGTATAGCAGCAGCAGTCAGGAGCATAGTCCCTAGAGTTCAACAAGCGTGGTTTACATGCTGGCTCTCCAATTCACTGTGACTTGTTACATTGGGCATATTACCTAACCCTCCTAAGCATGTTTTTTGATTCGTAAGCTAGGAAAAATTAATAATAGGATCTACCTCACTGGATAGTTGGAAGGATTAAATAAGAAAGTACACACTACCTGGCATATAGTCATTCTATAAATATTTGCTGCTATTATCCTTCTTACTTCATTCCTTCCTGTATCCTCTTCCTTCCTTTCTTCCTTCCTGTCTGACCTTTCTCCTTTTCTTCCTTCCTCTCAGTAGATAGTAGGGATACTAAGTCACTGAAAACATCATGTCCTCAAGGAGTTTATGGCCTAATTGAATTGGTAAGAGAACACATGGTAACTCACAATACCAGCCAACATGTACTAAGGGTAGACAATCAGTGCAGAATAAAGCATAAGCAAAGTGCTATAGAAGTCAAAATAGACACACCAGAAATGTGTGAGAACAAAAGAGATGCTAAGTCCACTGAGAGCAGCCTACTTAGCCCTGCCTTTCTCTGGCATTGAGTGGGTATCCTCTAAGAGCCCTTGTCACTCTCAGTGGGTCAAGCACAAATCCTCCTGGCAGTCAGAAAGAATGCCACCTGTGCCAGTAATGGAAACAGCTTCAAAAACAAAGGACTAGGCAGGTTAAGAATGTCAGGAGGAAGTCACAGGGTAGGTGACTAACTTTATATTTGAGTGGGACAGGAAGGACTAACATTCTTGTCAGGTGAGCCTAGATTTTAGACATAACAATAGTATGAAGTAGTTACAAGATTTAAGGTCTCCTACAATTGCCCCTATAGTGCTTCCCTGGTATCACCTCTTGTGATTCTCTTGTCAGTGAGCTGATCAGATGTTTCCTATCTTACAGGTGACCAACTGAAGCAAGAGATTAAATGCTAGGAAGAAATAGAGAAAATGTCCTGGATGAGAGGAGAGGATTCGGATGCAGAAATGACGAGTCTGCTTAGTCTACATTATGTGCATGGTGATGGCGAGCAGGGTGGGGCAATGGGACAATACTTTTCTTTGCTTTTTAAAAAATCATCTGTGGTGACTAGTGTAGCCCATTTTTCTCTCCTATCTGAATTTTCTTTTATTGTGAAATATTTCAAATATACAGAAAAGTTATGATAATTATATATGTAACACATATCCATATATTTGCTACCTGTATTTGTTAACATTTTGCCATATTTGCTTTAAGGGTCTCTTATTTTTAACACATAAAACATCACAGTTACAGGTTGAAGTGCTCCACTTTTGATGCTCTCCTGATCTATTATTCTTTCTTGTATGAGCTTTTCAAATAACAAACCATTCCTAATTCTCAACAATTCTTCACCTGGGCTTATTCGTGAGTCTTCAGCCAGCTGAAGGTCAGGTAAGCAGTTCTGGTGATGTTGGCTAGACCCTCTCATATGTTTGAGCATTGGCTGGCTGCAGGCTGGAATAGATGACCTCAGCTGGGACAATTGGACTTTCCTTCACTGGGCCTTATCCCCCAGGATGCTAGCCCATAATTTTTCACATAATGGTAGTCAGGTTGAAAAAGAGAGAATTAACATCATTTTTACCACATTCTGTTGATTAAAGCAAATCTGAAAACCATCCAAGAATCAAGAGTTAGGGTAATAGACTTCACATTTTGATGAGAGGTGCTTACATGAGTCACTTTGCAAAGAGCACAGGATAGAAAAAAGAATTGAGAATATTTGTGTCATCCATGGGTCTGTCTTTCTCTCCTTAGCAGTAATCATTATCTTGATGTTGTTGTTGTTCGTTTTATGGGTTTATTCATAGTTTTAATACATATCTATATAGTGTAACTATGAAATATATAAAGTATTATATCAAAAAAATTATTTTCTATATATCATTCAATAACTTCCTTTTATAAAATCCAATACCATGCTTTGGGGATTTAACCATACTGATAGACTTATAGCAACTTTATTAATCTTGGTTGTAGCATGTTATTTTTTTAATACTCTGTATTATATGCATATAGCCCAAATTGTTTATTTATCCATTCTATTTATTGACAATGAGGTGGCTTCCACCTTTGTATCATTTGGTCCCATGCTGCAATAGCCACATTCTTATACATGTATTACTGTGCACATTTGTTCAAACTTCTCTAGAGTGTATGACTGGGTTTTCTGGATTGTGGAATATGGACATCTTCAAATTTAATAGATATGTTCTAAATGTAGCCCCAAAGTGAGTATAGCAGACTTCCCTTCTACAGTATATCATTATTGCTTTGCATTTCCTTGGGTTCTGGTGATGTCAAGCAGCTTCTGTATAGTTTTGTTCTTTTTTTTTCCAGTATTATCTGAACCCAGCCCCTTTTATTTTTTATTTTGAGACAGGTTCTTGTTGCTTAAGGCCTCACTAAGTTACTGAGGCTGGCTTTGAACTTGTGATCCTCCTGCTCCAGCCTTTTGACACTTATCAAAGAACAAAGTGGGAGAACAGGTGTGCACCACCACACCCAGCTAGCGTAACATTTGTTTATAGGCCATTAAGATTTCCTTATTTGTCAGCTTCCTGTGTAAATTCTTGGTCCATTTTTTTCCTTAAATTGTTTCTGTTTCATATGGGTTGTGCAGATTTTTTTTCTGTATTCTGAATATTAAAGTTTTACTAGTTTTTCTTGCAATTTTTTTCACAGTTTATGGTTTATTTTTCTTTTTTAAAATTAGACTTTTTAATTGATATTTTGAGGTGTTTTATTTGTTTATTATTTTTTGACTATATTGTGGTGGGATCAAACCCAGGGTCTCACATATGCAAGACAAACTATCACTGAACTATCCTCTAAATCCATCTTTTCACTTTTTCTTATATTTTATTTTTACAGAGGTTTGAGATTTTAATGTAATATAATTTACTACTCTTTTCCTTTATAGTTTGAACTTTTTGTATCTCATTTCAGATATCCTTTCTTACTCTCAGGATCATAGCTATAACTATATACTCATCTGTTTTCTCCTAAGAATTTTAATGTTTTTCTTTTTATTATTTAGGACTTAATCCATCTGGTATTCACTTTTGTGTATTGTGAAGTAGCTCCCATTTTACCTGGATATAGAAACAGGGAGAAAACAATAAGACATTATAGCTAAAAATTTTCTGGAACCAATGAACATGAATCTTCAAATAAAGGAGGTAAGTTGAGATCTGAGCAGGAAAGGAAAAGTAAAGCTACACATAGATCCTTTATGATAAAACTACAAAAAAATCTAAAGCAAAAAATTCTTTAAAGTGTCTAAAATTCTTTACTAGATCAAAGAAAGAGATTTGAATGACAGTTCCAAAGACTATAGGTGTCTCAAAAGCAACAATTTCTTCTCAACAGACACAGAAAAAGGTCAGTGCTAAGGGAGAATAACTGTCAACCCAACGTATTTTTACCCAGTTGAAGAGTCCCTTGATTCCTACTCATCAACTCATTAACTATGACCTTGGACAAATTATTTAACTGTTTGAATCTTAGTTTACTTTTCTATAAAGTATGATTAATGTTCTTTTCGCTCTCTACTTCATAGAATCACACAAGGAAAACGTGAGAATGTTTTACAAAATATAAATATATTACAAAAATATAAGATTGAATTTGATTCTTGAGAATGACATTGTAGTTGAGTACTAAAATATTCATATTTTTGTGGGGGAGGTTAAACAGGGCATGGATGGATAAATGTATGGATGGAGGAAGGAATAATATTATGAATTAAATTAATATTCATTGAGTATCTGTTGTGTGCCATGCTAGAAACACTGTGTGATGATGAATGCAGCAGATACTAAAAACATTGACAGATATGATCCCATCCTCTGTTTAGTAGGAGAGATATATATTAAATCAACAAAAAAGATAGTAAGTGGTTATAAATTATGATGGGTCCTATTGGAAAATAACAAGTGAATATAACTGATATAAAAATAAAATATTTAGGAGGAATGACATTTAATCTAAGACCTGAAAAATTGGTAGTAACTAGCCAAATAGTAGAGGAAGATGCTTTCCTAGGCTGAGAAAACAAAATAAAACAAAAACAATAAACAAAACCAAAACCAATAACAGCCATAGGATGTACGTGAATGAGTGGGAGAAGCTGAAGTTCCATATTTTTGGCTAGAAAACTAAAATAGAGACCCAAGGAAAGTGCCAAGAGGAATCAGCAGGGGAAACCTTGAAAGCTATCCCCTTAAGTTGTTTGTGAACTCCTATGCTCACTCCAGAAGTGTGCCAGGGTGGTCTGATCCTAAACCCTGACAAAGACTTTGAGAATTAAACCACGGGACAGACCATCACCCAGGCTGCCTACTCCACTGAGTGGCACTTAGGTGAGAAAAATTCATGTAGCACTGCAAGTCTTTGAAAATGGAACTAACATTGAAACAATAATCCCCCAAAGGGTGATCTGCATGTGTGGCCTGACATAAACTAAGTTGATTGCCTATTAGTAGAAAAAGATCAATATTCTCCATAGGATTGAAACAAAATTACTATGGTCTGATAACATGATAGTAAAAGTGTCCTAGATATAATCTAATGCTGTTTTAGACAGCTTTTTCGCTGCTGTGACTAAAAGACCTGATAAGAACAATTATGGAGGAAAAGTTTATTTTGGGGCTCACAGTTTCAGTGATCTCAGTCCACAGATGACCATCTCCATTCCTCAGGGGCCAAGGCGAGGTAGAACATCATGGTGGAAGGGTGTGGTGGAGGAAGTGTCTCAAGACATCACACCAGGAAGCAGAGAGAGAGAAAGAAAGAAACTCAACAAGGACAACATATATACCCCAAAGGCACACCCCCAATAATCCACCTCCTCCAGCCACACCCTACTTGCTTTAGATTACCACTCAATTCAATCCCTATCAGAAGATTAATTCACTGACTGGGTTAAGGCTCTCATAACCCAATCATTTCCCCTCTAAACCTTATTGTTTTGTCTCACATATGAGCTTTAGGGGGACACCTCATATCTAAACCATAACACTTGCATACAAAGAACCAGAAAAATCTCAACTCAAAAAAACCAAAAACAAAACAAAACAAAAAAACAATAGATGCCAATTCTCAGACGACAGAGATGTTGGAATTATACAATCAAGGATTTAAAGAGATACTACAAAAATATTTATTTAAGTACAAATACATTTGAAATGAGTAAAAATAAATATGAATAAAAAGACCTAATGAAAATATTAGAGCTAAAAAACAGAATTCCTGAAATAAAAATATTTTAAAAAACTCACTCCGTAAGATCAAAAGCAGAATTAAGATGGTAAAAGAGTCAGTGGTCAATGAACTTGAAGATGGATCTATAGAAATTTTCCATGCTGAACAGCATAGAGAAAAAAGATTGGCGGGGGGGAATGATTTAAGCCTCAGGTTTCTGTGGGACAATACCAAAAAGTCTAAATTCATGTCACTTGGAGACCTAAAAGGACAGAAAATATGGTGCTAAAATCCTTTTGAAGAAATACTGGTTGAAAACTTCCCAAATTTAGTGAATGATATAAACCTATAGAGTTAAGCTTAGCAGATCCTAAACAAGACAAACTCAGTGACAGATACACCTATAAACAATATATCAAATTGTTGAAAGCTAAAGACAAAGAAAAAATCTCAAGCACAGCAAGAGAAAACCAATGAATTGCTTATAGGAGAACACCAATTTGAATGAGCACAGGTTTCTCATCAGAAACAATGGAAGCCAGAGGAAAAAAAACAACATTTTTAAAATGCTAAAGCTAGGATTGTATATTCAATGGAAATATCCTGCAGGAATGAAGAGACTCTAGTGTACTCAAGGAAACTAAAGAAGTCAGTACCGAAAGACTATTAGGTCACTACTACTGCTTCTTCATCTTAGAAAAATTCAAATAAGCATCCCTCTCACGTACTCCATTACCTCAACATTCATCAAATCCTCCTCAGTATTTTTTACATCTATTTCTTTCCCTTCTGTTACTGCTTCCTAATCAAGGCCCTAATTTCTTGCTTATATACCTTTCTCCCAATTGGTCTTTCCAACTCCAGTTTTGCCTCTTCTCCTTTCTTAATCTCACTTTAATTATCAAAAATTTAAATTTATGTTGTGTTCTTACATTAAACATGTCAATTATTCCTTTATTGCTTCTAAAATGAGATGAGCTTTTTACAAAGTCTTTTCTAATCTATTTTCTGCTTAGTTCCCTGGCCTTATTTCTTGCCATTCTCCAACCTCTCTTCCCAAACTATATTCAGTACATCAGCGTGGTAAATATTTTAGGCTTTGAGGTCCCAATGTTCTCATTACTACTGCCCAGTTCTGCAGCTTAGTGCAAAAACAGCTGTAGACAATGTTGAAAATGGACAGGTGGAACTGTGTTCAAATAAAACTTTAATTACAAAAGTAGGTAGCTGGCTAGATTTAATTCAAAGTTTATTATTTGGTGACCTGTGCTTTAGACAACTGACCTAACTACAAACATACAAACATGGCCTCTTTCCTCATCTCTTGAGTACTGCACTATCTACTCTGCAGTGCCTGCCTCATTTTATCTGGCTACCTTCAATTTGTGACCAGGTCTCAGTTTGGATGCTGAATCTTCAATGGCTTTTTCCCTGTGCTCCCCACTGGTCTATCATCAATGTTGTCCTTACCACACTTATGTATTTACCTATTTTACTTGTCTGTCTCTCCACGCCCCCACCCCCATTTGTGAGCTTTCAGAGGGCAGAAATTGTCATAGTCATACTTTAATCCCTACTGCCTAGCAGAAGCTGTGATCTGTTTTTGAGTGACCCATCCCTTTCCTTCACTCTTGCTTCTTCTCCCAAGGAAGTAGAGGTCCATATTAAGGACCAATTGCTGTGTCTCTTCTTGGGTAGCACCCATCTCACCCACCAAGCAACAGAGCTCAGCTCAGCTCTGACCCCACTTCCGGCAAGCACTCTCAGCCACCAACTTTAAAAATAAGCCCCAAGGGGGAAATTGCTATATCTTTTTCCAAATGCTGTTGTGAATGCCAAAAGTGGTGGACACTGAACCGCTGTGGTTAAGGGTGGAGCAACCACCATTCAGCCAAGCATCCTGGGGACTCTCCCTCCTGTTTGGCATCTTCCCTTTCCAGCCCATCACCAATCAAGGGTACAAGGGACAACTTTCTTGGCCAAGCCATTAGGTAATCGAGCAGCTGAAGGATCAGCTATGCATCCTTTTCTGATCTAGTGCTGAACCTCAGTTGAAGCCTAGACCCTTCCCTCAGGACATTACAATCTAGTTGAAAAAAGCAAGACAGGCACATGTGAACTATTTAGAGGTTAATAAAATTGTAGTTTATTCAGATACTCTTTCTCTTATTTAAGGGTCTATTCAGAGCCAGGCACTGTACAGGATGCTGAGTTACACAGATTAAAAAGAGGGTCCTTTCATTCAAGGGACTGTGTCTACTCAAGTTATACCAAATTAGGAATATTATAAATGAAAAAAAGGGTTTAGAGTCTGATGAAGCTGTTAAAGGCTAGAATTTTCACAGAGCAGGAGGCTTGAACTGCTTCGAGGCAAGTATGGGACAGAGATGAATGGAAGGAGAAAAAGATTTCAGTTATAAGGTGACATGACTGGAGGTGTGAAGGGTGGAGAGCTGAGTAGTGGGAGATAGGCTGGAGAGAGAAGGAAAAATCATACTATGGAAGACGTTGAGGATCCAGAATTTAACTCCAAGAGGAAGGATGATAATACCTTTTCTCTTTTTTTCAAGTTGAGCTATAGTTCACAAAAATAAAACTTATAATTTTAAAGAATTCAATGGTTTTTAATATATCCACAAACTTATGTAACCATCACCACAATTTAATTCCAGCACAAATAACATACTTCTGAATATTGCTGACCAGGGAATTCATATTATAAAGTTGTATTTCAAGCAGATTACCTTAAGTGACAAGAACTGGAATGATTATGGGGACAAAGAATTGGACATGGAGGCAAGCCAACTGTCTCAGAGGCTTGAAGACCTGGGCCAGAATGGGTTACAGTGCCATCTGCTTTCTATCATCCTCCCCTCCATCCACGACAGTGGTATTTATAGTGGAATAACTTATTGAGATAATGATCTGTATCTTTTCTCCTTGATTTTCCCTCCCCCATTTGGAGAACATGGCCAGA